AAAAAGGCGGCACCAAACCGAAGCTAGGTTCTGTCTATAGACATAAGACCGTTTGGTTTAAGTAACAAGTAGGAGAAAACTTGCGTTCTGTGTCTTTAGTCGGAGAATAGACCACGTAAATCGAATCTTTCGACTCTCTCGATCCTAACATCCGGTGTAACTTAGGCACCAGACCGAGAGAGGGGTTCAGGAGGATTCCCCGTGGAGTTGGGGAATGTAAACCCCACACGAAGAGCGCATTTCTCACGCGCCTTCCCAACACCTCATTTCCCCAGACCTACTCGTTTCAAACTTTGCAAACGCACACGGTTTTGTGTGGCGGTGGGGGGGGGGGTGTCGCAGGAAAGTGTAAGGGCGGGAGGGAGGGGGCAAAAATTCCCAAACAAAGTGTAAGATTTTATTTGAACAGCCTCAAAACAAAGCCGGCCACACCTGCCCAACGTCAGCGAGAGTTTAAGGACCTGACGCATGTGTCAGGGGCACAGAATTCTACATTTAGTGTAGAATTCTGTGGTCAGGGGACAAACTTTTTTTGTACTCCAAACAATTTTTTTTTTGGGGGGGTAGACATTCACATTTAACTTTTGATTTTGATCTAACAAAACTCATATTGGTTAATTTTGATTGCAATGGGCGTAGCAACAATACAATGTATTCCAATAGTTCCGTGGCATTGTTTTAGCTAAACGTACGCCTTGCAACTTTTGCTACTTTTTCTTGCAACTTTTGCTATTTTCAAATGCAACTTCCTCTGAGGATAGGTTTGTAAAACAATCTTCATGAACACCATGTCTGACCAACTGGTTTATTTAAAGTGTCTTCTCCGAAAAAAACCCCAAGAGGCCCCCCCCCTCTCTCTCTCTAGAACACATCACGCCCACCATGAGAGAGCCAAGGATGACACGTTGTTCCATAAAGAGGAATTTTTTGACAAACATTCGAAGATATCCTCCTGTCTACAGATTACAATCCAGAAAACGTCAGATTTGCATCAAGTATACATGGAGAACTTTGCAGAGAGAGTGAAAGCCACATTGAGCTATCAAGTGTTCTGCCAAAAGTTCAAGAAAAACAATTTGGGTTCACTTTCAACCAAGAAAGACCAGTGCGACATTTGCACCAGCTTCGAATTAGGAAACCTCACAGAAACAATACACAGCTCATCAAATATGAATAT